ATTTTCAATATTACCTGCGGTGTTACCTGCGGTATTACCTGCGACATTTTACTGCGACTTTTTCCTGTGACTTTTCCTGCGACTTTACCTGCTAAATTAATTACTCAAAGAGATTTTAGATGGAAAAGAAATAGCAGGAAGAATCGCAGGTAACATGTTTCTTGCGAAAATTTTGTCAAAGTCCGCAGGTAAATCTGCAGGAAAACAGGACATTTTTAGTAGTGTGATGGGAAACCTCTTTTCAAGTTTGATCGGGTTCGGGTGTTCAGACCAGGGATTGTTGGTTTTGCCCTACATGGCTCTCTTTCTCATTATTATGATCAATTTGTTTGGGAGGTAACGTGTTTGTTGATTTTTGAATCTAGCTTTTTTGTTAATTTGTGTTATTGTTATGATTGATTGATTGATGCAGTAGTTTTATAACTTTTAGCTGTTTGATGAAATGCACAACTGAAACAAAACCTCATTTGTCAGATTTTTCGAATGAGCAAGATAGATAGAATAATAGTAACTTGATAAAGTTTAAACAAAATGGAACTTACAAGAGAGTTAAGATGAGATTCAAAGAAAATGAGTTTGTTAAAGTGATTGATAATAAAGGTGAAATGATTTCTAAGTTATGAATTAAGCTTGTTATTGTGACAGAACCATGTTTGAATAATATATAATTTCGTATTTTGAATTGCAGTAGGTTGAGGCGAATTTGTTTTTACAATAATATGGTTACCATCTAAGTATAGCACACTGATTACTCCTTGATGTTTAATTTTTCAGTTAACTATATTATATGAGATATGCTTCTGAATTGTGCGAGACTAACTATATTATATGAGATATACCATCTAAGTATACCTATAGATTAAAAATTTGTTGCGACTTTTCTTGCGAAAACATCAACTACATGCAGTCTTAACTCCATGCAGACATTTTCTGCGGATTTACCTGCCGATATTTACTAAATTTTTGTAAAAAATGTATTACCTGCGATTTTTCCTGCTGTTTGTGATTCCAGCTAAAACCTTTGTAAGTAATTAGTTTAGCGAGTAAAATCGCAGTATTGTCGGTAAGAAAATGATGTAACTATGAATAAATCAGAGTGAGAAAAAATAATAATAATATTAAAGCGCCTTTGATATGGAATATGAAGGCCATCACTTTAATTTCTTCTTTTCTAATATGATTTTTCTCCCTTTCTCCATTGTTAATGCAAACACAAGTCCCTCTTCTTTAGTGTTCCCTACTTATAGATCATAGATAATTCAACAGTAATATATATATATATATATATATATATATATATATATATATATATATATATATATATATATATATATATATATATATATATATATATATATATATATATATATATATATATATATATATATATATATATATATATATATATATATATATATATATATATATATATATATACTAACATGGAATTTAGAAAATCAAATCATTGTAATTCACCAAATAAAAATTATCTTCATTGATTGGATGTAAGCAAATATGTTCTGATGGTAGAATTTACACTATCATGTCCTAAAAATTAAACATCATCCATTATCATTTTTCAGTCATATTTCAGCACAAATTGTATAGAGTAAAGCAAAACTATATCAATAGATAAAAATCAATAAATATGTAAGATCGATGATTTTTCCTTATGTATTTCGTCTATTTTTATATGATTCTCATGAACCGTAACTTGTTTGACAAATTTAATAGCATATTTGTGATGAGCATGAAAAACCAGTTCAAATGGTATATGAGTTTGCAATTTATTATAATGGAGATTTTTAAAAAGGGAGCAAAGCATTATAATGGATTAATTTGATATTTTAAAATAATTTAAAGGACTAAAACAATAGTTTTGTCAAATTTTTAAATATGACATGTTTAAAAAAGAGTTATGTGTGTATTTGGGGCGTTCGAATTTTGAAATCTAGATTCTAAAAGTATTTTAAAAATTTTAAAGTATTTGTGTCAGTGACAAAATGTGCATAACATAAGTTACTTAATTTGCGCAACAAAATTAAAAAGAAATTATTTCTATTTTTTTTATTGAAATCCTTATATTTATATTTAAAAAAATAACTCTGCCAACAATCACTGCATTTCGGTCAGTTTTGTATCAATCAAGAATCGCACATTGTATCAATCTCTATCGCAAAGTTTTACTGTTGGCGGTTTCATTGTTGTGAATCTTCAAAAACATGGGATGGATGGTCTAAAAGAACAACAAAAATTTCTCTACTTATATGCTTATGTTTTGTCATGACATTACTAGACATACAGAAATTACCTGCGGATTTTTCTGTGTAAATTTATCCGCAGATATATCTGCAGTTTTGCCAAAGAATTTACCTGTGGATTTTTCTGTGTAAATTTATCCGCAGATATACTTGCAGTTTTGCCAAAGAATTTACATTATGAAGTATTATTTAGCAACCAAGTTCGTAGAAGTTACTTATGTGATTTTGACATTTTTCTGTGATATTTCCTGCGACTTTATCTGCTAAATTAATTATCCCCAAAGATTTTAGCCGGAAACAAAAAAATAGCAGAAAGAATCGCAGGTAAATCCACAGAAAAACAAAGTTTTTCTAATTATCGAAACTTTTCCATATATTTTGGCTTCTATGCCTACGGATGGAGTACAGAGGAAGAACACGTCTCTTACACGCGAACGTTTTCATAGGGTAATAACTTTAATATAAGAACAATACGTGAATAAAAATATTGATCTACCTAATGAAGGAAGAAGAGAATATAATACGAAGTTTAAGGATATTGGATCTTGATGAAGTTTACGAAGTTAAGACACATAGGAGGATGGAAAGAAAGAAGATGAAGTTGAAAGGGAAACAAATTAAAAGAAGAGAGATAACAAATTGGAAACTCCATAAAAGAGATATGAAAATTTTAATTAGGTAACATGTGAAGAAGAATAATTAGGATATGTGTAGTGTAGAGATTTAAATTGAAAAAAATTTGATAAAAACTATACTGTTAACATTTGATTTTTTTTTGTTGAAATTATGTAATATTAAATGATTATATATATTCTAATACTTTGTTTTTATTAGCTAGAATTCATATAGATCCTAACAAACTTATATGAAATTCACATGATTTGGCAGATCCACGTGAATTTTACCCAATCAAAGAAAGTGTGTTAAAAATGTTTATTAGGTAGACTCACATGAAATTTACCCCATCAAAGAAAACGCGTTAAAAATATTTGTTAAAAGCGTTTTGTTAATATTTTTCATAAAATATATTTTTTAGAGTTTGATGATAGAAAATAAGAAAATAGTTTTTGTAATGACTATTTTAGATAACTTATATCGGAATTGAGAAATAATTTTTTTTATACAAAAAAAATAAAATATATGAAAAAAAATAAAATAATAAATAATGCAAAAAAAGCATATAGGATGAAAGAAGAAGAATACATGAATAAATTATTTATCTAACTAAAAAATGAAGGAAGAAGAGAATATATATAAGAGCAACTTTAACGCAGGATTGTTAAACCAAAATTCTTTATAGCTTACGTTAGTAATAAGGAATTTGCATTATAGGAGAGCTGACATGACATCCAAATGAACTAAAATTTAGTTCCCATTATCTATATAGTTAACGTTAACTATGTGAAACCTATTATAATATTATTTAATATTAATAAAATATTCCAATTATTCCAACAACATTAAAGTAAGGATATGATATTTGAAAATAGTAACGGTCATATTATCATTTTTTACCTTCTATAAATTCTATAGAAATTTTAATTTTCTTTCACATAGTTTTCTTCTAAATTTTTTCTTTCAATTTCCAATTTTATTTATTTATCAAATGGATCTCAACCAATCGAATCCTTATTATAATTATATTCCTATGAAAATGTAATTTTTTTAATGTATTATTGTTGTGAATCTTGTATCATTTTTAATTTTATAATAAAATATATTTAATATTATTTTTAAGTTTTTAAGGTAAATTTTATTTAAAAAATTATATGTATTTTAATTAAAATAATTAAATTAATGGTAACTTGAATAAAAAATATAAAATGTGGAGTCAAGTTTGATTTCTTATAAACAGTCACCATTAAAGTAAAAACTACTCAAATCAACTATAAATTTTTTAAATCCTACAAATCACTTTGGGCCCACAAAAAGTATCTTAATTTACCCATTTAGTTTACTCCCACTAAAGATGCTCTAAAGTTTAAGAATCTTTGATTTTGATGAAGTTTTTGAAGTTGAGACACATAGAACAATGGAAAGAAAGAAGATGAAGTTGGAAGGAAAACAAATTAAAAGAAGGTAGAGAACAAATTTGAAATTTCAGAAAAGAGATATGAAAATTTTAATTAGATAACATGTGAAGAGGATATGGGTAGACGTAGTCGAATCATGAGATTTAAATTGGAAAGAATTTGGTAAAAAAGATACTGTAACATTTTTTTTTGAAATTATGTAATATTAAATGATTATAAATTAGAAAAAAGGGGTTAAATATATGTTACCCCTGTCACTATAGCGAGTTTTGGTTTTTTCTATAAGAAGTTTTTTTGTGATTTCCCTTTACCAAATTCAGATTCGATCAATAAAGACCCTTGTGCCACTATTTCACAGATTGTGTAAGTGAGACCTCTTAGTTGGCATCTGATGGCGAAGCTAACTGGACCATTTAATATCACGTTTGATTAAAATAAAAAATGGTTTGCTGACTGGATCATTAAAAAATAACTCAGAAATGAATTCTTTTCTTATTTACCCCCGGTGAAAAATTAGGGCTCAAAATTGAGAATTTCCCCCAAAATAGCAAGCTGAGAAGGCGGACACGGTCGGAGAAGACGAAGGCACGGTGGAGCCAGGCCAAAGCGCAAACGAAATGTCACATGTTAGTTTGTTTTAATATCGCTCTTTATTGTTTCGAAATGTAGTTTGTTTTACCGTTGTTGTTATCTTTAGTTTCAGAACATGCAAGTATTTAACATTGTATTTCACCATGTAGAGGAGTTTGTAATGTTGATTAATTGTGAAACGATTTACGGGGGTGGTATTTTGACCATAGTGTCTGGGCAAGTCATTGATAAGTGGTCAATGGTTAACATTCATAATTTAGTTAATGGGTGGGGTTACATAAAAGGGATGTACAGAACATGGATCAAAATCCTTGACATTGATGAAAACCTTTTCCAGATTAGGAATAAGGATGATGTTTATGATTTTGCCGCATACGCTTGTGTAACCCAAGTAGATGGGAAAATGTTTGTGGAACATGCTGTCAATGGTATAAAAGTCAAGTTAAGAGTCCTAGGTGTGTGAATGAAATGGTAGAGTTACATGGAAGTGATGAAGAGGAAGTTGAAGGGTTGAATGATAGTGAGAATGAAAGAACCATTGCTATTGCAGCTGGATTTGATGGAATTGATGTCTCTCTACCCATTAGTTAGTGATGAGCTGGACAACTCTGATTCAGATGATTCTGAAGATGATAATGGGCCTAAGTTTGAGAAGTTTAGAAAAGACCAACTTAATAAGAATTTCAAGTTTAAGTGGGATATGCAATTCAATTCTCTAGAAAAATTTAGAGAGGCAATTCATGAGTGGTCAGTTTTAAATGGTAGGGATATTACTTTTATGAAAAATGAGAGTTATAGGGTAAGGGTACAATGCATGGCTAAATGTGTTTTTTTAATGTTATGTTCTAAAGTGGGCCATAAGCACACTTATGCCATTAAGACTATAAAAGATAACCACAAATGTGCTAGGGTTTTGAATAATAGATATGCAAATTCATGGTGGGTTGCCAAGGCGGTTGTGAAGAAAATGCAAACATCTGAGACAATTAGGATTTATGATATTATTCAAGACATGAGACAAAATTACTTTGTGGGAATTACTGTGGCTAGGGCATGGAAGACAAAGCTGATAGCAAAGAAGATAATTGAAGGAGATGCAGACAAGCAATATACAAACTTATGGAGATATGTTGTTGAGTTAAAAAGGGTAAATATTGGGAATACTTTGACAATCAAAATTTACAGACCAATCTCATCAATTCAACCAAGGTTTGGATCTTTTTTACTTTTGCTTTGATGGATGTAAAAAAGGATTCATAAATGGATGCAGACCATTTGTTGGGGTTGATGGGTACCATTTGAATACCAAATATGGTGTTCAACTTTTAATAGCTATGGGTAGGGACCCCAATGACCAATATTTCTCGTTATCCTTTTGTGTTTTGGAAACTGAAACAAAAGATAACAGGAGGTGGTTTATACAATTATTAATGGAAGATGTTGGACAAGATAATATATATGTCTTTATTTCAGATTAGCAAAAGGTGTGTCATTTTCAACGGTTAGATGTTAGTTCATACTTCTCATTGTCAAATGTTAGTTGTTTTAAAAGTTATGTCAATTTCATGATTGTTACAAGGTTTGCTAGCAGTATTTAAAGAAATGTTTGAAAGAATAGAGCATAGACTATGTCGAGATATTTGTATGCAGACTTCAAGAAAAAGTTTGGAGGTGGATCATTAATAAGAGATCTCATGATGGGAGCAGCCAAGGAAACTTACTATCAAGGATGGATGCAAAAAATGAATGAATTAAAGCAAGTAGATTTCAAGGCTTGGGCATGGCTAATGGGAGTACCACTAAAATGTTGGTGTAAGCATGCATTTAGTTTTTACCCTAAATGTGATGTACTGATGAACAATATTGCTGAGTGTTTTAATGCCACAATTTTAGTAGCTAGGGATAAACCTATATTAACCATGTGTGAATATTTAATGAATAGGTGCAATACTTCTGCCATGAAACTTGAAAAGTAGCCACACAAGGTTATGCCAATTCCTAGAAAGAGATTGGATAATGAGGTGGCTATGAGTGGTCATTCATTGCCAACTTGGGCTATGGATGAAAAATTTCAAGTTACTCATTCTTATAACAAACACAATTTCATAGTTGACATTTCTAAAAGGTCTTGTACATGTAATTTTTGGGAGTCAGTTGGCATTCCTTATAGGCACGTTGTTGCAACTTTAGGTTTTAGGCAACAAAATTCAGAAATTTTTGTTAATGAAAGTTACTCTAGGGAAAAATATGCCATTTGTTATGGTTTTGCTGTGAGTCCCATTAATGGACAAGAAATATGGCCTGAGGTTGAATGTGAAGAGCTTTAACCTCCTAGGTATAAAAAAGGTCCTGGTAGACCAAGAAAATTAAGAATTAGGGAGTGTAGCAAGGAATGTGCTAGAAGTAGATTTCTTGGTTTACCTTATAGGTGTACAAAGTGTGATAAGTTTGGACATAATGTTTAGTCATGAAAGAGCAAGAAAAAAGATCCAAATGCTTTGAAAAGAAAGGTATTGTTGTGTGTCTATTCAGTATTGTTTGTTTAGAATGTTATAGTTGTAAACAATACTCTGATATTATATATCATTTGGATTATTGTAGAAAAAGGTCAAATCTGATGCAGGTACAAGTGCAGCCACTAAGGTGGATTCTAATCAACCAAATCAACCAACTGATGCAAGTCAACATGATGGTTCTGCTCATCCCAACCAACCAACTGAGGCAAGTAAATATGAGGCAAGTCAACAAAACCAACCAACTGATGCAAGTCAACATGATGCAGTCATACCAGATACAAGATTTTCTAGGGATATTTTTGATGAGATGATGTCAACCATACTTGACATCAACATAACAAATCCAACTATGCAAGAAGGAAAACCAATGAAAAAGGAAAGGTGTAATACCCCAAACTTTTCCCTAAGATTTAGTCGAATCATCTTGCATCTCATTTCATTTTGCATTACGTTTAAACTAACCACTAACAGGTTGTGCAATTGGTTGATTTTTGCAGGAAAATATTGCGTGGCACACTTTTAATCCATGAAGGGTAAAATGGTCATTTGGTGACGGTCGATCGCCAGTTTACGAATGTGGAGCTATGGGAAGGAAATTTGGGCCGTTTGATCTGGTTGACGAGGTTTAATCGAAAACTATATCGAAGACCGGATTAGTCGAATAATTTGGATGAATCAGAATTAAGGAAAATGTAGCATGTTAGTAGGCTTTTCATTTCATTTCATTTTTTAAATCAAGATAACAAAAATAATTTCTTTTCATTACATTTAGTCAATCTAGTTTCTTCTTTATCTAAGTTCATTTTTAAGTCAAAAATATTTTATCTTTTAGAGTTAATTTCATTTCATTTCATCTTTCTTAATTAATCCCATTTTTCTTAGTTTGTTTTCATTTAAACGAAATTGTATTTCATTCCTAATCTGAGTTCTTCGACTTATCCAAACTTCCGATTATCCATGTCGAATCTGCAAACATGATCAAAACAAACAAGAAAAAATAATCGGTTAGTATTTTCTGACGCCCTCAGAACAATGTCATCATCAGGCGTGTCCGGAGGGTAATAGATTTCTCCGTCTCCGACTCCCGACTCTGTTACCGACCAAAAAGCCAAAATCAGGCAAGTTTCTGTTCTTATGATTCTGAGGCGACGAGAGAGAAAAAGAAGTTTATGCCGAAAAGTGTTTTTTGCTGAAAATGGATCACTAACAGATATCCAAGACAAGCCAAATCTGTTTCCATCAGGTAAATATACAAATATCCAATATCCAAAACAATATCAGAAAGAAAACTAGTTAACCGGTTCATCAAACAAGCAAACTGGATCGAACCAGTTCAGAAAATCCGTTCAAACCAGGTCAACAAAGTGAACAATCAACGTAACAAATCCAGCCAAACAAGCTCGGTCAAAACCCCAACAATGTCGCCCGAAAATACTGCAAAAGCAACATAAGAATCACAAAAGCCCACAAACCAAAACGTAAGGGAGGATATAAATCATCAGATTTTCAGTTCGAGAAGGGGGGCGGCCGTGAATGAAAACCTAGATTCAGAGATCCCTAAAAGGGTTCTCATCATTATCAATACTATCGGAATAAATTTAAGAAAAGAGAACACCTTCACCAGAAAAGCATCGGACGGTTCAGAAGCAAATCTTAGCTTCATCATCACCGCCCTCGTCGTGGAAGAAGAAGAGGATAGAAAGTTTGGAACTTCATCACCGTCGGACTATCACGAGTCAGCCGGAGCTCCGAGTTGCCTCGTCATCGCTCGCGTCACATGCACAGAGGTCTCAGTGCCGTTTCCAAACTGGAAAAGGTAAGCAATGTTCTCGGTAATGTTTGCATGTTTGGTCATCAGGTATCAAATGAAGAAATCGGACCAGCAACTGATGGCGACGAGCGGCCGCAGAAACCCGCTACCGCCGCGTCACCATTAAAGCCTACGACCGCCGGCTCAGGATCATCATCGCTGACGAACCCAGAAACAAAAAGCGGTGTAAGAACACAGATTGTCTCTTAGTAATATCTCTATGTTTTGATGATAACTCTTATGAAATTTTGTATTAAAGAATTATATACTCTAAAATTGGTTCATGAATAATTGCTGTAGATAATTAAAGTATATATACATTCAAGAACAAATTAATTTGAACTTGGAACTATGGAAGGCTCTGAAGAGTCAGAATCATCTTATAGAAGAATCTGAGCGGTGTCTGCAGAAGGATCTGAAGCAGAAGCTACAGAAGAATCTGAAGCAGAAGCTGCAGAAGAATCTGAAGCAGAAGACTCTAATAAGATCTGAAGACTCTGAAGCATTAAAGAACTTTGTATGAGAGTTAAGAAGCTCAGTTTTTCAGAAGACTCTGAGAGTACTACACGCTGCATGTACTGAGGATCTGATTCATAAAACTCTGCTCTGATAGAACTACACGCTAAAGCACACTTGCTGCCTTACTCTGATTCAGCAAAATCTGATGGGTATCCAAGACTCTAATCATGCAAAATCTGATGGTTACCTTGCTGAAAAGAAATACTTATTGAAGAAGAATTCAAAGTAATATCCTTTGATTTAGCTCAACGACTCTTTCCTCTTTCATGCTTGACACTAGAACACACACCAAAAGCATTTCTCTGTGCATTCTACTTCCAGGAAAGGTCATGTGATGTAAAGACAAAAAGGTTCAAGCCTTTTCAGTACACAACCTCCAATGTCAAGACTTTGTGGACTACTGTGCATATAAAAGCAAGTCTTCATCATCTTCTTCAGTAGTAATCAAGAACCAACGAATCTCTGATAGAAAATCTTACAAGCTCTCATAAAATATTCTTGTTGCTGAGTTTATTATTTTATTCTTAACATTAAGTGAAAAATCACTATTGTGATAAAGCTTGTTAGAAGCATTCATACACTTGTATTAATTTTACATTTTATTGTAATAGTTCCTTA